CTTCAGGAAATTTTAAACCTTCCACCCCATCCTAAGTACTGAACTGAAGTTATTTGGAGGAGGTGAAGGTGGAGATAGGTAAAACGTCTCTGTGGGAATGGGGAGGAGGCAGCCTCCTTCAAGGATGCTTCTTAAAAATGGGAGAAGTGACTTGCGGATGCCTGAGCCAGGTGTAAAACCTGCCCTTGGCAGGCACAGTTTAGCAGTAGCCAGAGAGGCCAAGAGCATCATCTCATTCTCTTTTCCTGCCTTCTGGCTTAGATGGGAAGAAGAAAATGCCACGCCTGAAATCTCAGAGTGGCTTATGCCCCATAATAAGGTGCACCATGGCAGCAAGAAGCGCTCGGTAAGACTGGTGATGGTTGGGTGAGTGTAAGTGAAAAGTGCCGCGAGGACATGGAGTGCTCCTGACTGCTTAGAAAATGATCTTGGCTTAATTGCGGTCTTCAGTTGGTCACAGTTAACTTCGCTGGTGTAGTTGCTGCTAATAGACTTCTGCATGCTGCCTGTGCGAGGTTGGTAATGACAAAGCAGCAACAGAGCAAGAAGCAGGAAAGGAGATGACACTTTGAGCCTGCTTTCATTTTACTTGATATGCTCATTCTGCCAGATCCTTGTCATGCTTTTAGCACTTGTGGTTTGTTGTTTGAATGTCACAGTGTTATTTGAAGTTTAATTGCTCTGTTGGCTGTAAGACCCTGGTTTAATGCCTGTTTTTTATAAGTTCGCAGAAAGTACAGAGTTGTTGGTGACACTGAGAGTCACTACAAATCATATAGCTGAGGCAGAAGAAGGAGAAGGAAGCTGCAGGGAGTGTGGCACTTCATTCCCCAAAAAGTATTTGCACGAACAGACAGAACTTCACAGGCTCCTGGTCCTTGCCTGAGCCTTTTGTGCATGCCAATGGGTTGATTTGAAGAGGAGAAGTTTGATCTCAGCCCTGAATCAGATAACGTGGAACTTCTTGCAACAAAAGGGAGTTGCACAGCAAGTGTGTCAGGGCAGTATGTTTCTGACAGTACACTAAAAAGCTGCCTTGACAGTGAGCTGTGCAAAAGCCAGGCATTAGAAACACATGGAAATAATGTGCTTTTTGTATAAAAAGTAAGAATGTAGCTGAAATCCGGTTGTGCCTGTGGAATCGCATCTCTCTATGCCGTATCAATAGCTCTGTGTTCTTGTTTGAATAGGAGTGACACTGACACTGGAGAAGTTATTAGTGCGTGATGGTCACACTGGGAGGTTTTCCTGGACCCTTTCCTGTAAATGCCGTTAGGGCTACGCAAATACAGAAAAAGGACAGTGTAGTACAAAAAACCCCCCCAGTTATGACATAGAAAGGGCAAGGGCTGTGCATGGGTACAGTGCATTGTGCCAAAGTTTTCTGGCTTTTTTTCCTTCATTCTTTTGTTTATCTTGAAATTGCGGGGCACAAAGGGCTGATAGTTATGTATTTTCTGGTAGCCAAAATACCGTAAACCCTGTGCATTTGCTCTAAATGGGGAATGTGCAGGGCGTGTGGTGGTGGTGGTGTTTGGATTTTGTTTTCTAAGTGCTGTACTGACGTTTTAACACTTATTTCAGACATGGTCATAGACATTCTCTTTTTAAATCTGATAAGGGCACAGTAACCCATGGAGCCCATCTGTGCCTGTATCTTAATCTAGGGACCGTAGACAAGCAGCTATAGGGAAAGCTATGCTCCTGCAAAATCTGTTGCTGTCAAGTTGGAAATGGTGCCTGGAACAACAGCAAGTCTAGATTTGTGTATTTGCAGAGGTTTGGGTTAATAGAAAAAGATACGTTTTATTTATACATGTATTTGAGTGTACTTCCATGGTAAAAATGTACTGCTTTTTGAATGCCCTTTTTCCCCACTCCTGCATAAAGTGAGGGCAGAAGTTCTTCCCTAAAAAACTTCATGGCTCTTTGGCAGAGATGCTGATCCTGATGTTCCAGTTCTCTTTCAGTCTGGGCAATTTCCGCTGGGCAAGTTGCTGAAGTCTCCCATTAGACAAAAGGCCACAATAAACTCTTGGAGGGTTGGGTGATGTTAGGGCTGAATCGCTCCCACTCAGTCAGCCCTGGCTTTGCCTGGCTGTGTGAGCTTTTCTGCGTCCTGTCCCATCCCT